AGGACAGAAGTGTTACATGGTTTTATAACAGATAAGAGCTGCTAAATGGTAACTACGGTTAGGACCATCCATGCAAGCACTGGTTATTTATTTTCATTGTCTGTCTGCTGCTACAAGACATTGAGCTTCAGAGGACGGCGCACCAGTTGCACGTTTTTTGAGCTGTGCAGGAACTAGTGAACTTTGCCTTTTATTTCTTAGCAAACAGGAGAAATACTAAATTGTTGCAGTCTTGCTTATACTGCCCACCAGCAAAACCAACATCTTGCTTTCGAAAAATCAAAATGCATCTGCCACAGTGCATGACACAAGGTCAGAGAGTCAGTTTAGTTAACTGGATCATGTGTTCCTGGACTCTTAGGCACACAACGATCTTATTGCAATGAGGAGACAGCAGGAGTCAGCCAAGTGAAAACAAAGCATGCACCGTCTTCTCCAATATTAACAACTGCTCAGAGTACAGAAAACTGAATACATTTCACATCGTAGTGATTACAAGGAGATGTATAAATGTTAAGAGGATCCCGTCCTTGAGTTGCTTTATTGCTCTGCTCAATTAAATGTTATTTAATGATTCACCTCTTACAAGGGTATTATATACCATTCATACTCCACTGACTTCAGTGAAGCTGCTTCTGATTTTTCCAGAAAAGATAACTAGTTCTCAGGAAAAACATTAATTTCCTGTGTCAGGCTGAAGCATCAGCAAGTTAAAAGTAGCAACTAAATATAGCAATTGCTGTAATATTTTTGTAATTCACACACGGGGAGATTCAGGTTATCACATCATAATTGTTTACACCTTTGATATTGGTTTAACTGCTAAGCAGCCTAAGAAGGAGAACTATTTCATGTAACGACTTTATTTCCATCAAAACTGCAGCACCCTGCCTGTTGCAGTTTCTTAGCGTATTTTATTTTCAGCACTATCCATCATAAATTACCCTTACAGAACAAAAGATACAGATTCTGGATCATCAGATTAGGCAGTGTAGGTGAATTGCTGAAATAGCCATGATTGTTCATGTCTGGTAGCAGGTTATTCCTGTTATACTCACTGACCTTCATGTTTCATCCCTTAACACACCTTAACTCTACTCATTCTCAGTGTAAGAAAAGAGTAAAACTCTCGCCTCCTTGTCCTGGGCACGGACTCTTGGCACAGAACACTTCTTTCCAAAGATCACTCTCAGGCTTTTGCATCTCCTTGTATCTGGTGGTTAAAGCAACGATTTCACTCTGCAGCTGGGACCACATGCACCAGGTCAGTCTCCACAGCTCAGCTTTCAGCTGCTACCTGTTGCACCAAAGTAACCTGATCAGCCACGTTGGCTGTCAGAGATACTTAGCTTAGTCGCCAAATTTTCCATCAGACAAAAATAAACCATTCAGCCCTGAAGTGTGGTTAACCACTCGGGTCAAAAATGATAATAAGCTGTAGATACTCACATCTTCATGTTATCTAATGATAACAATATATTACTTCATTTTTGCATTGAACAAAGGCTGCTTCTTTCAATCTTTTTTTTTTCTTACAAACTCGCTGTGCCTCACATGAGCATTCCCAACAGCCAGCCTGCTTTCAAATGACATGACGCTGTTAATATGCTGAGTAGATTTCCAGTTTGTAGGAACATTGTGATAATATTTACCTACCTTTGCGTTGGAAATTTGAATAAAATTGCACGCGGCACCATTGGTGAGATAGTTTGGGAACCATGCTGACACAGGCACCAGCCCAGCCTGGGCGCATGGCACTCCCGTGTGAGCTTTCTGCTGTCCTCCCGTACGAGGAACCAGGGAGTACAGGCAAGGAGACAGCGAGGTCTGCACCCTCTTGTAAGAAGAAATAGTTTCTGTGTTACACACTCCCAAAAGATATTCCCCAGAGAGCTGAGGAACCTAAATGCAGAAAGCTTGACAAAAATTACTGTAACTGAGAATCTAAAGCACAGAGAGACTAAAATACCTTGCCCAAAGCCTTTCCAGAAGATCGTATCAGAGATGGAAACTGAATCCAGCTCTCACCAGTGAGTATCAAACATGAGACATTTTTTTCTTTTCCCTCTGAGGTACTAGAAAGTACAAAGCATTTCCTTATCACCAGAAATTTCATAAAGCTTGGCCACTCTGATCACAATAATTAAATGCACACTTCTAAGGACATAGTGTCCCTTAAACACATACTTGTCTTTCATTTAATTCAAGAGAAGCTGCACGTGCATACATCAGCACCCTACATTAATTGTACATTTGCAACATACTAAAAAAGATATGCCGTATTAATATGTCTGCATTTATCTCTGCTATCCATAGAAAGAAACTGATATGCCAAACCAAAGCCAGCAACAATATTGAAGTATCAGGTATTCATGTCTGGGAATGCACTGTATTGAATATTGTACGGAACAGAAACTTGACAATATACAAAAGGAGAAGGGGGTGGGAGAGCACGAGCGAGGTTAACACAGCAGTCAGTGTGACGGATAAATTGAATGCGTAACTCTTGTTCAACAAGTCCTGCAACTTGAGAGCTAAGGATCTGGTAGCAGAGAGATTTTGACAGGTAATGGAAAAGCAATGTACACAGCCTCCAACTACTGCTCTCTGGAACTGGGCTTGTGGGAGAAGACAGTATCAGCTGGTTCGCAAAAGGACACACAAATTCGTGGACAACAGATCCCTAATAGAACAGTGACAGGGCTGGGCAGGTGCACACACTCCAATGATTCTTGAGAGTCCAGCAAACAAAATGACTACGCTCATCTGCTTTCCTTGGCAAATGTACCCTAAGCTAGACGTGTAGTTGATGTATGCTCATCTGTCCCCTGGGGCACCTCTACAGACAGATGTTCCTGCCTACATGAAATTTTAGCTTTACCACTGTGGAAAGAGCTCAGCCTTCCCTGGGAATCCAGGCTTACGTGGTTTTCAAGCAAAATCTCTCGAAGATGATGACAGAAATGGAACTCCTAAGACAACTGAGCCCACAAAAGCAATGAAAACATTAGAAAGAGTGCTCCCTGGATCACGTACTAACAAGGCTAAGCTCTGCCGCATCTATACGTTGTTATTTTTCATAATTGGAAAACACTCTTCCTGCTAATTGCAATTATTTTCTACAGTACGGAAGTAAACTCATGGGAAAGGCTCTGCATGAGTGGCCCTCATTTGATGAGTGTATTGTCACCGGATCTCTCTGTATACAGGGTGGGGATTTGTACTTTGCTATGTGTGCAGGAATGATTCTGTATGTGCTTTCACTTCCTAAGTAACTCTTCAAAAAGATTGGAGGAGGCTTTAACAAGCACAAGCACTTCACTTTTGTGTATGATTCTGGAACTCGTTTTTTTCTAGCCCATGGAAAACCATCTCAAGCCTCAGTTTAGACCGCTGTCATAATATTTTCAGGCTCGAGACACAAGATTTCATTAAGTTCCATACCATCAAGATCTGTTCCAATATTAAATAAGACAATCAGAAAGATACTCGTATGAGAAGACTACTCTGAGCCAAGACTTCAGGAGTTGGCTTTATTTCAAGCCTTCAAGAGATGTCTTAAAAAAAAGAGCAAACTGAAATACTCAAAGTTAAAATAATTCAGCTTTGCCTCCTGGGTAACACTTTCCTGCTTCCTATGGAAAGGCTCACTCTAAGAATGCTATAAATATTCCTTACCCTGTTTCTTTTATGTGTATACTTGTCCTTCAATTCGTATGCCTCAAGACTGCTGCTTACAATTTAAGTTAAGCAATAGAACTGGGACATATGCAGAGCCTTCAAAGTAACCATTTCCCCATCGTGCTTGTCCACTAAGTCTGTGAAAACACTTGCATCAATTCCACCAGTACTTTTAAAGTTTCATATAAAGTGAAGTGAAGCACTGAACTTCTGGAGATCACAGAACAGTTCTCTAGAGAGAACCCTTCTCTAGAGAGGAGACAGTTCTCCAGGTATGCCACAGAGTCCAAAAGCAGAAGGAAAAAAATCCCTCAACCTGCTGGCTATCCTCTTGCTAATGCAGCCTGCCATGCAGTTAACACTCATCACCGTATAGGTTTCAGAACAACTTACAATCAGCTTGTCAACAAAATCCCCATATCACCACTTACAATTCCTAGGCTATCATTTTTATTGCTAAAATCTAAAAGAATGAAGTAAAAATCAACATAGGGAAAGGACACTTTAAAAGCAATTTTTTTATGACTTCAATATGAATTTACAAGCTTTTTATTATAGTGTTTTCAGTCATATTTAATGGCTTATGCAAGCTGTTTTTACACAAATGATGCACCAGTCCACTAACTCTACTCAGGACAAACCTTGGCTTCCTTGAGGGAATTACCTAGGCTCTCTGCAGATCACCAGCTGAGAGGTGAAGCTAAGCCTATCAGTCCCTCGGGCTACGAACACGTTACAGGGCAGAAACTGAGTCAATAGAACATCGCCTTCTCCTTTCCAAAATTATAAGAAGCAAGTATTCCTTCCTGCTTTAGCTTTTTCCTAACCTGCAGTTAACTTATTTGTCCTCTTTCTTAAAAGTATTCCTCTGATTTGCCTGTTAAAAGCTAATGAAAGGGTTCTTGTTCAACCTAGTTACATTTAACAGTGTAATCAACACCAAATTCTGAAAAAAATTATTTCAAATTTAAGATTTACTTTCCTTTATATGAAGATAGACATTAACTCTTTCCTAAAATCTCCTACAAAATATTATTCTTCAAATATCATGACATGACCATATAATCTTTATATTATGTTTCATTAAACACCAAAACAACACCAAAACATCATCATGTAGTTTTTAATCCCCCTAGCAGTGGAAAAGAGAAAAACTGAAGCTTCATATAATTTCAAATGTAACTGGTAAATATAATACGAGCCCAATCCAAAATCCACTGATGGAGGTCACGAGATTCTTCCCATTAATTTCCATGTGCTCTGAGATAGGGCACCAAGATGAATTTTAGCAAGTGAAAGGAAGAGAAACGAAAACTTACCCATGAATTCAATTCCTAAATGGTCTGCTATATCCAGGAAAGCATGTAAAAGAAAAAGGAAAAAAGAAACAGAAATGTTAGAAACAGACTGACATGTAAATCTCACCTTTCTCATCACTGGTAGCCTTCATTAGTGATACAGCAGAGCTGCAGAATGCCATGCGGGGTCAGGGGACCGCTGTGTGGGTACTGGTCGAATCACAGAATGGT